ACACGCTCAGCCCAAGTAGGCGGACACGGAAGGATACGTGGGGCATGATTCCATCAACATGCAATGTCTACAACAGGGACACAGAGCAGGTTACTGCTCGTCAAGGGCTGGGGGAGTAGGGTTGGACAGGAATCACGAGTGATTGTTAATGGTACAGCATTTCTTCTTGACCAGAAGCTGAGAAATGTTACCGGAAACAGACTGAAGTTGAGTTGAAGAAACACTATCACACACACATAGTCCTGAAGGGACTATGCCAATGGAAAAGCACTGAGGCCCTAAGACACCCACCAGGCCACAAGGGACACCACCAAGGCTGAGGTACATCGTGACACATCTACGCAGAGAAGTGACAGACACTGTGAAGCCTGAGTAAATATTGGTGAATATTCTTTGAACTTTTCTGACAGTATGTTGGAAGGCTAGGTTGGCCTGGAATTCTTCGGTGGAGCCTAGGTCATTTCAGAGAACAGTAACCTCAGAGAAGGACCCTCAATGGCCACAATAAAACAGAACAAGGACATCCCTCTTTAATCTTCCTGGAAGAAATTCAGCAAGGGTCTATTTAGCAGCCATCATACCAACCAACTACCCCCCTCTCCTGGTCACCAAGAGGGACTACTGCTTCTCCGGCTCCCTAGACAAAAATGAAGAGATCCAATATCCAAACCGCCAGGTCTGTTTGTGAAACTTCCTTAAGTCCTTGGCTAACCCAAGTCCTGGCCCTGTCAGTGACACCATTCCTGTGCTGCCATGGCATGCCCAGCTGGCACTGCAGTTTGTTCCTGGTGGTAGCTGGCTACTGAGAAGCAATGTTACAATAAAACACCAGGAATACAAATGGGGAAGAGTCCAGGCAAGGCTAAATGTGCACTGATTCCACGTAACTATGTTAACTTGACACAAGGAAGGTGCCACATGCATACTAAAATATTAAGTCACTTCTGAATGTTGCTATTTTTCGTACAACATCTTTTCTGCCTCAAAGGACCTCTTTCTCTTCATCTGTGCTGCAAGTCATCCAAAAACCTGCCACAAACCAACAAGCAAACAGAAAACAAAGTGAAGTCGCTGGTGGGAGTTCACCAGCAACCTCACTAACTTTCAATTATCCTAAGTTGCCCCCCGCCTTTTTTTTGAAGATTTATTTATTTATTTCTTATTGGAAAGTCAGATATATAGTGAGGAGGAGAAACAGAAAGATCTCAAGTGGCCGCAATGGCTGAAGCTAAGCCGATCCAAAGCAGGAGCCAGGATGGGTCTCCCGTGTGTGGGTGCAGGGTCCCAAGGCTCTGGGCCATCCCCGACTGCTTTCCCAGGCACAAGCAGGGAGCTGGATGGGAAGCAAGGCTACTGATATTAGAACCAGAACCCATATGGGATCCCGGCATGTTGGGGGCACTGACGATGTCCTGCCCTAAGATGGCGCCTGGACCCTACTTCCTCTTAGAGCCTTGGAGTAAACAGGTTTCAGGAAGCGCCTTCTGATTGGCCCTTTACCGCATGCCTTGGGCATGTACAGCGTATGATCAGTGCCCTGATTGGCGTGCCTTCTGCGTGCCTTGGTGATCTTTAAGCTGATTGGATAGAATTGATATATAAGCCAGAGGCTTAGGGGCAACGGAATTAACTGGTTGAAATAAAAGCACCTCGGAGACGCTCTCCAGTGTTGGGTGATTTCTTCCGCAGGATGGGAGACCCTGATAACAGCACTTGCAAGGTAAGGACTTTAGCTGCTAGGCTACTGTGCTGGGCCTGTATTTTTTGTTTTTTAAATATATGGAATTTCCTAATGAGTAAACTGATCTTTTATTAGTGTTCAGAAGTTTTTAAATCAAGTGTTCCAACCTTTAAACATTCAAAAAGATAATTTTATGTCAAATATACTATTTAGGCTTTTATCCATAAAACAAAACAACTTTGGAATTGAAAAGAGTGCAGAGAACAAACTGACTACCAGCAAATGTTTCATGTGCCATTTTCCAGAAAACACATAAAAATAATCCTGTATCTGTCTATACACCCACACAGATGTATATAATGTATGCTTAGCTAACATATATTAGCTATACACACATGTATAGGTACATATATGTGTGTGTGATATGCTACAGAATTAACCACAATATTTTATGTCCCTTAAAGTAGATGACACAGGTGTCCTGACTGCCCCACTTCCCATCCAGCTTCCTGCTTGTGGCCTGGGAAAGCAGCAGAGGACCCCCTCAAAGCCTTGGACCCTGCAGCGGCAAGGGAGACCTGGAAGAAGCTCCTGGCTTCTGGCTTCATTTCAGCTCGGCCCCAGCCACTGCGGCTATTTTACCTGGGGGCAGTAATGAATTGGCAGATGGAAGCTTGCTCTTTTCTGTGACTCTGACTTTCAAATAAAATAATTTTTTTTTTAAAAAAAAATGTAGACACACTCTTTTACCTGGAGATATTTTCCTTTGTGTCAAAACAACTACACAGGATGAATGCCACTGCCGAGTCTGACGAGTCCACATACTGTATCTGCTTTGGTACTTCTGCAGAACAGAAATGTAGCTTTCATGAAGGAGAAAGGGGTTGTTTTCAGCTGATGGAAGTACTTTCCACAACACCCACACTGCAATGAACTGAAGGCCCAACACTGTTCCAGGCTTCAAGTCTCTCACCACTGCCATTGCTTCTTGGTAAACTCAGTTGAACACTCCAGGTTTAAAGTGACAGCTTGAATTAATTCCTTGCCATGGCTTTGGGGGTCGCATGGACAGAGGGTGGTACTTTAAAACAAGAATGATTTGAGCTCAAATTCCTGTTCTGCCACCTTCACTCGATAGAACCCATGTTGTTTTTTAGCCTCTGCTTCCTGGTCCATAGAGCAGAAGTAACAGCTACCACAATGCAATGTTATCATGTTTAAGGGAGAGCATATACACAGAGCCACAGAAAATTACTGGTAACACTGCTCCCAAAGTTTGATCAGAGAACAATGAATGGTCAGAAAAACGTTAAACAGGTTAGAAAACACTGCTTTGGGCCCCACGCAGTAGCCTAGCAGCTAAAATCCTCACCTTACAACGCACCAGGATCCCATATAGGTGCCAGTTCTAATCCCAGCACCTCACTTCCCATCCAGCTCCCTGCTTGTGGCCTGGGAAAGCAGTAGAGGATGGCCCAAAGCCCTGGGACCTGCATGGGAGACCTGGAAGAAGTTCCTGGCTCCTGGCTTCAGATCAGCTCAGCTCCAGCTGCTGTGGTCACTTGGGGAGTAAATCAGTTGACAGAAGATCTTCCTCTCTGTCTTTCCTCCCCTCTGTATATCTGACTTTCCAATAATATTAAATAATTTTTTTAGAAAAGAGAAAACATTGTTTTGCCAAAAAATGCTTCTGCAAAATTGCTCTGCATAATAAAATAAATTTTAGTTTTCCACACGCACCTTAGACGGAAGGACATAGGGAGCCCTGAGATAGAAAAATGTTGGGAAGGAAGGGAAAGGGGGTGACCCAAAGCAAAGGACTACAAAAACTCCTCGGTTGTCAATCAGGCTCTTTAAGAAAATGATGCCCAACATTCTAGATGGTTTAAAACAGTCTCTAAAAGAATAAAACAAAACAGATTCTCTTTTAAAGCAGTTTTGGGTTCACAAAAGTGCAAAGCGATTTTCTGTCTTGCCCCTCTCCCTATTCCAAGTGGAGTCTCTAATTATCAACATCCTCCACCTGTGACATTTGTTACAACTTGATGAGCCACGGACACACGCATCCATCCGCGGCAGCTTCCCCTATGGGGAATAAATGTTCCCCTGTCACACACTGTGACCGAAAAACAGATGATTCTTGACATTGTCGTTTGAAGTCCGCTCGCTTCCCGAGCCTAACAAGCCCTTTTCTCCTAAGCAAAAAAGTTCACTAATTGCCTGGGGTGAAAGAACCGTGGGCTCTCTCCAAGCCAAGGAAGAGGGAGCAGCTGCGAGACATAAAACACCAGAAGCTGGAGAAGCAGGGAGACCAGAGCAAGGAGCCAGGAGTATCTCCGGCGAATTAAACCACGCAAATGGAGGTTTAACTCTATGTTGATTGAAACAAACTGTGTCAGAGTAAGCCAGCGTAAGCTGACATCCGCGGCACCTGTCAGCGCTCTTCCCTGATGAGAACCACTGTTGCAGGCTCCACACCAACACCACCACGGAACAGAAAAACTTTTCAACGCGACAGAAAACTACCAGGACCCAGTCCTTGGCCCTAGTCATCCAAGAGGACGGCCAGAAAGGGGATCTGCTTGGCTGGACACTGCTTGGGGGTGAAGGAAAGGGAAGGTGTGCAGGCCATTTGCCAAAAATCACAACCTCACAGCATGGCTAGCCCAGCTGAGATCCTGAGCCGGGCAGGTGTTGGAGGGGATTGGGGGAGGTGAGATCGCAAAGCCGGGGGCACACATCTCTGGCGCAGAGCCAGGACGCTCAATTTGGATTTCCGAACCGGAGTGCAATTCTAGGCGACCACACGGCTTCGCCAAAGCAATGATCAGCTACTTTGTTGCTTTTTGGCAAACCAAGCACCATAACACACCGACGGTCAGACTCTACAGAAACTTAACCACAGACTATTGCATTTTTTTTCGCAGTATAAATGTACAGTTGTTGATAATACTAATAAGATGAAGAAGACGGGCCAAAGCGCGTTAGGTCCGTAAAACAGGTACCGCAGGACAAAGGTGCGACGTCGCCGCGCCCTTTTCCCCAAGGAGCTGTCGCTTAGAAGCAATTCAAGCCACTCGTGGTCCGATTGCAACTCCCTATTCCACCTGAGAAGCGGGGCGGGGGACGGCCCCGGCCGGCTGCACAGCTCCCGCGTTCTCCCGCAAGCCGGGAGCTCCGCATAATAAGGGTCTCGGCGTGCAGTGCGCATCAGCCCCGGGGCGGCGACACCACACCCCGCCGCCGTGCCCCTCCACCTCCGCCCGCCCCGTTCCTCCCGGGAGCCCCGAACCCGTCAGCCGCCGCCGCTCGCTCCTACCTGGCCTCATGATCCTCGCTGCGGCCGCTCCAATCCCGCCGCGCGGCCTGACACGCGGGGCTGAGGCGCGGGGCTCCCGGGCGCACGGGGCTGAGGTGACAAGGCTCCCGGGCGCGCGGGTCTGGGGCGCGGGGCTCCAGGGCGCGCGGGGCTGAGGTGGCAAGGCTCCCGGGCGCGCAGGGCTGGGGTGCGGGGCTCCCGGGCGCGCGGGACTGAGGTGGCAAGGCTCCCGGGAGCGCAGGGCTGGGGTGCGGGGCTCCCGGGAGCAGGCGGTGGAAGGCGCGGGCGCCACGCACGCCGCTCGAGCGCCGAGGCGTCTGCCGTTGTTTGTAAACACGCTCCACGTGCGTGCTTGCGGCCCGCCCGGCCCCCTCCGGCGCGGCTCGTCGGCCCAGCCCTCCGTGGCCGCGCGTATTTCTCGCTCCACACAGCAGGAAGCCTCGCCCGCACAGCTGGGTCCTTGGGAGAAGGTGCCCAGGGCCGGGAGAGCGCTCGTACCGCCCCCTGCTGGCCGGCGAGGCAGTCGGCAGCACCCAGCCACCGGCGCCGCCGCCGCCGCCGCGCCCAGAGGCCCCGCCCCTGAGCCGCGCGCGCGCCCGCGAGGCCCCGCCCCTCGGCGACACAACGTTCCTGCGGGGGCGCGCGCGTGCTCCTTAATCCCCCGCCTTCCGGCTCCGCCAGCGACGCGGCCCCTCGCCGCCACCGCCACCCTACCGGACCCCGGCCGCCGGCCCCGGCCGCCCTCGGGAGGCTCCCCTCGCTCTCGGTGTGGGCTGGCCGCCGTGAGGCTCGCGCAGAGCGATGTCCGCGGCCGGCGGACCGGCGTGCCCTGGCTGGCCGCGGCGGTGACACCCGGGTGGCCGGCGGCCCCAGGCGGAACCCGGGCTCGTCCGCGGGAGGAGAGCTGGCCCAGCGGGGAGAGAGGCCCTCACTGACGCGGCTGCTCTCTGACCTCTTGATTGCGGGAGGTAGGCTCCTTGGGGTCCCCTCTCTGTCCGCCACCCCACCGGAATGCCAGGAAGCCTTATCGGTCTAGGTGAACGCCTTCACGTTGGTAGGAGGTGTTCATTTTCCCAGCTTAGTTGCAGGAGAGGTGTGGGTAATTACACGGACCTTGATGTTTGGGGGAAAAAAATGTTTTTGGTCTTTCCCTTCAGGTCCCACAGGCTGCACGATCCCACACAGCCCTGCAGGAACTACTTACTGCTCGCCCGCAGTATCTGCCTTCTCCGGGATTAACCTCACCTCCACCCTGTAACCTCCGCCTGGGGTCCCAAATTCCAACAAGGAAGTAATTTTTTTAAATGTTTTTAAGAAAATTATGTGACACCGCCTCCTGCCCACTTTTCTCCTTTTACCTGCCAAATCCATGAGGCATAAGTTTGCATCGCATTGAACTAGAGTTTTCTGCTTGTCCATTTTCAGTTGATTAGCCCTGCTCCCTTCTGTCCTGCCCACCTTACTTTGCCTGCTTGTAATTTCCATAAGCAGTCACCTGCGCATGTGCTAACAATCCTCTCCTGGACTCCAAATAGTCCACTGCTGCCCGGCAAAGACCTGCAGTGGCCTAGGGAGGTGAGGGTTTCCTTTATTTTTTTGGTATTAGGTTTGCACCTCTTCTCCCTGTCACAAACTGTTTATTCCCTTCATATCCCCCCAGTACTCCTGTGTAAGTCATAATGCCTTTAGCCAAGAAGTTGACTTGCAGTGATTGCAAAAACTGAGTCTGCAGTAACATTCTTGCTTACAGCATTGGTTCTGTCTGGGACCCCCAGTGAGATCACAGTTCATGGATCTTAAACTAACCATCTTAAACTTAAAAAGTGACCAAAAGTAACAGAAAAAGTTAAGGGGGCTTAGTCTTTGATGTAGTGATTGGATAAAGTTTAAAACAGCAAGAAAAGAGAGATTTTGTAGCCCTTGTCTGGGATTCTGGCCATTATACTACTGAGGTGGGCCCGGGGCAGATGAGGGCCTTTCTGACTGCCAGCTTCTCCCTGTTTGGACTCCCACGTTGTTCATTGTCTCTTGCAGCAACCGCTCGCTACAATGTTGGGGAAGCGGAAGCGCGTGGTGTTGACAATCAGGGACAAGCTTGACATCATTAAGAAGCTGGAGGAGGGCATCTCCTTCAAAAAGCTTTCTGTTGTGTATGGAATTGGGGAATCTACGGTTCGTGACATTAAAAAGAACAAAGAAAGGATCATAAACTACGCCAGCAGTTCAGATCCTACGAGTGGGCTATCGAAACGGAAATCTATGAAGTCCTCCACCTACGAGGAACTCGATCGAGTTATGATAGAGTGGTTTAACCAACAAAAAACAGATGGCATTCCAGTGTCTGGAACGATTTGTGCCAAACAGGCCAAGTTCTTTTTTGACGCTTTGGGGATGGAAGGAGATTTCAACGCATCCTCTGGCTGGCTCACTCGGTTCAAGCAACGTCACGGTATCCCAAAGGCTGCTGGTAAAGGAACCAAGTTAAAAGGCGATGAAACGGCTGCCAGCGAATTTTGTGGTAACTTTCAAGAATTTGTTGAGAGAGAGAATCTACAACCAGAACAAATTTATGGTGCAGATCAGACTGGATTATTCTGGAAATGTCTACCGTCGAGGACATTAGCTCTCGACATGGAGCAGAGTACTTCTGAGTATAGGTCAAGCAGAGAGAGAATCATCATTATGTGCTGTGCAAACGCCACCGGTTTACACAAGCTAAACCTTTGTGTGGTGGGGAAAGCAAAAAAACCCCGTGCATTCAAAGGAACTGACCTTGCTAACTTGCCGGTCACTTACTTCAGTCAAAAAGGGGCGTGGATGGAACGATCTGTCTTCAGACAGTGGTTTGACAAATATTTTGTGCCACAGGTACAGAAGCATTTGAAATCCAAGGGGCTTCTAGAAAAAGCAGTGCTGCTTTTAGATTTCCCTCCAGCACACCCAGACGAAGAAATGCTGAGTTCCGCTGATGGCAGAATCATTGTCAAATATCTGCCGCCAAATGTCACAAGTCTGATTCAACCAATGAGCCAGGGAGTTTTAGCCACAGTGAAAAGATACTATCGGGCAGGACTTATGCAGAAATACATGGAGGAAGGAATTGACCCCAAAACATTTTGGAAGAACTTGACGGTGTTGGATGCAATTTTTGAAGTTTCAAGAGCTTGGAACATGATCAAATCAAGCACCATAACCAAAGCATGGAAGAAACTCATCCCTGCCAGTGAGGAAAATGCAGGTGTGAACATTGACGAAGGAGCCATTTTAGCGGCTAACTTAGCGACAGTCCTGCAGAGCACCGAGGCCTGTGAACACGTGGACATTGAGCATATCGATCAGTGGTTTGATTCTCGGAGGAAGGACTCCAGCCGTCAGGGGCTCCCTGACTGTGAACGGACTGAGCAGCCACCCAAAGCTGCCGGGAAGAGGCCTTCGGGGAAGATGAGGAAAGCAGAACTCAACCCAGAGAGGCATATCAGCCACCGAGTCGCGCTGGAGTGGACTGAAAATTTACTGGATTATCTGGAGCAGCAAGATGACATGCTTCTGTCTGACAAACTGGTGTTACGGAGGCTCCGGACTATCATCAGGAGAAAACAGAAAATCCAAAGTACCAAAAGCCATTCTTAGTGTTCTTTGTGTTTCGGGGGGTCTGCACCTGTGTGGCCTGCACAGACACTGACCTGGTGTGAGGTTGCTGTGGGTTGTGAGAGCAAACACATTTTATACAAAGATTGTGGGGTCAGATGTCAGTTGGATTACTGTACAGTAGCTCTTTGATATCTCCCATGACTGAACATTGCCATGCCTTGTCTCCCTGCTGTTTCTACTCTATTATGTTAATTAGATCATCAAGTGCCAGAGACCAGGCACCTTGTGTCTGTTTTGTGCCTGAATTTTAGCGTGTCCAATTTAGGGTCGTGCACACTATTGGCACTTAATAAATCTTACTTCAGTTGAATTTGTATGACTGTGAACTTGAGTTTCTAAAGTAAAGTGTATGTGTGTTGTTGGGCTGGGGGTATTCATTTCCATACTTTTTCTACCACTGAAAATCTTAAAAGAGCTCAACCAAGTTGATGCTTGAAGCATTTCACTGTGACTGCAAAGGACTGAAGGCAGCAGTTTTCAGCCTTCACTCCAGCATTCCCTGGCTTGGCAGTATTTGTGCTTGGAACAGTTCAGATTGGGCATCTCTGATTATAGTGAAGGAAGAAGAGATAAGTTTTGGACATCCCCAGGAAACTGTTCTGCACTTCACCCTACTGAGCAATAAGGAGCGTTCCCTTTATGTTGAAAAAATAAAGAAATATTGCCTCTATTTCAGGGAAATAAATTTCAATTCTAATCCTGGTGGAATTAGAAAAGATAAGGATTAAATGTGTGTCTTTTCTTTTTTACAGACGTGATGGTTTTGATGATGCTGTTTCACAGTTGTTACGTACTTTGAAGCTTACAACCTATGTCATTGCTTTCATATAATATGTTCTGTGAAAACTGACACTGCAGATGTAAGCATCCATAGAAGGTATGCAGGTAGCACAGAACAGTGGGCTGACCTTAAGTCACATGTGGTAGGGATGCCAGGGAGGAGAGCGAGTCTGACTCGTGCTTCCTTCCCCATCTGTAAAGTAGAAACAAAGGCGTGCCCTGCAGAGTTATCTTTGAGGCAAACAAAATAGCAGTGAGCAGGATGTTGAATGTTTCATCGAACTAAGCGCGCGATTGGTAGAAAATCAGAGCAAAGGAAATGACACAGGAGTTGCTGACTGCAGCCGCTCTGCGCCCCCATGGCATGGCACACTTGGCCGTGGCTTGCTTCAAGGAGACTCTGAAGCCCCCTCCCTGGTAGTGGTTCTTTCATAGCTCCTGGAAGTCTGCTTTTTGAGCCAAAGCTTCAATTTCTAGAATGACTGCCAGAAGACCTCTAAGAATTCAGTTTTCTGGGGAGAATTCATGATCATTCTTAGCACACCTGCCTCAGTCTACCCAGTTCATTTCACTAACCTGAGAGTCTGCAGGAAATGGGACTCGGCTTGAGTAAGTTCTGAGGCTTTTGGCTTCTTGGCAACCGAGGAGTCTGAAATTTGATGATAGTAATGATTTGGGTTTGAATACTGCTTTGCATTTTCCACGGTGCTTCTTGCTAACAAAAACTCTTCCAGTTTCCTTCAATCTAGCATTAAAATGGCTTTTATCTTGTAAAATATCAACATATAAATTGTGCATTCTGCCCCCATAATTCATAGTAAGAAAAAATCTTCCTGCTTTCCACATACTATGGTAGAGTAATTTCTCTAGGAACACGCAGGAAGACACATGCTGTGTGTGTGTATCCTAAATTGAAAACCACAAACACATCAGTACTTCAGAAAATTAGTGGAAAAATGAAACTGTGGTGAAATTGGTTTAAAAAAAAATCTTGAAATCCAAATCTGGATATTTTTGTACCACACTTTTTTTTTTTTAAAGATTTATTTATTTTGATTGGAAAGGCAGATTTGTAGAGAGAAGGAAACAGAAATGTCCTCCATCTGCTGGTTCACTTCCCAAATGGCAGCAACAGCTGGAGCCAAACAACCCAAAGTCAAAAGCCAGGATCCTTGGACCTCCTTCAGGCCTCCCATGTGGGTGCAGGGTCCCAAGGCATTGAACTACCCTCTGCTGCTTTCCTAGGCCACAAGCAAGAAGAAGCTGCATTGCAGGCTGAGTAGTTTGGTGCCCATATGGGATGCCAGCCCCTGGAGGTGGAGGATTAGCTAATTAAGACAGTGCACCGGCCACTGTAGCACACATTTCTGTGGACACTGTGGAAGGCCCTTATATTGCTCTCATTTGTACACCTTATTTGCAAAATAGGTTACAAATCCTCAGTGCTAAAGTGCATATCTTTTAGAGGATTTGAGAAACCAGTAGAATTCTGACAAAAGGAAACTGGCAATTTAGAATGTATTTTTCTTCAGCTGTATAGTGAGACTATCATCATTTCATAATTCAGTCACAGAGTGGAAATGGAGTTGCCTGGAGGACTTTGGATGCTCAGCTGGCAGTAGCCACCACCATTTAAAGTAGAATTACGGGATTATAATAGCTATTACTCTGGTTTGAGTGGATTTTTGTTTTTGTTCTGTAATTTTTTGGTTTCAGTTTTTCATACTAAGCTATGTAGTCGCCTCATGAATTTTCTGGAAAGGCTCTTGGTAGACTGAGTGGCACAGTTAACATTTACTAAGATACAGAGTTGCTCTTTCTTTGCACTGTGGCCAGAGCCACCTTGCCCAAAGTTCTAAAAATTAAAAGAAAAACCTGCACTTCTGATTTGTCTCTATTGAGGATGGCTGTCCCAAGTTATCAGCTTATCATTTTCACAAAATTGACCTTTTCTTAAACAAGTGCTGAACACTGTAAGCAATGGCTTCAGTCTTGTGCCTTGCGTACTAACTGTATCCTTTCCCTATTCAAGTTAATTACAAAGCAATTATTATTTTTGTAAAAACCTTAGCCTGCTTGAAATTATATTGCATACCCAACTATTGCTTCTTTTGAGAAAGAGTGGCCAAACAGAATGAGGGTAGTTATTGATGGCAGGCAGATAAAAGTGCAAATACCGGGTTTTCAGCGCTTTCCTTACATAACCTGGCCCTCTTGGAACCTCAGTTTCTTACATGTAAAGGGGTGTAAAGGGGCGGGAGGTTGAACAGGCACATCTTAGGGATTCATGAATACTGGCTATTAATTCCACAGCTCTTCCTTGAGAACTTTTGGTCTGGAGCAAGAGCCACACATTTGGCCTGACAGTGGGTGGGACGGGCAGGCATCCATGTTGAGCTCCAAGGGACTGACGCATTGCTGGCAATGCTGGCTTGGCTCTATGTCTAAGTGGGAACCAGGTGCGGAGTTCACCTGTACCCAGGGCTCTAGTATATGCTGTCAGTCACCACAAGAGCCCATCAGTCAACTCAAATGAGGTTTTCCAAACAGCTTAAGGGATTCTTGTGAGATGATAGCTCACATGCTGTAAGCAGAAACAAACCACAATGCAAATGTAGAAAGGAAACTGGAGCAGCACAGAAGGATTGGCACTGGTAGCACTGGTCACCATCCTACTTGTGAGTCCAAGAGACAGGGCCTGACTTCCAACTGTTTCTCAGTGTTATGGTGCCCTTGTCACTCACAGGTGCCCCAGCTCAGAAGAGCAACTGGATGGTTTCCCTACACCAATAATGGTACTAAAGGGCAGAAAAGGGACATGATCTGCCCAATGCCACAACAGCAATGGTCTATAAGGGAGCAGAAATTGAAGCAATGTGGCCTCCTCACACTGCCGAATGCACGGGCTCCTTTCAGCAAGTGCATGGCCCTCAAAGGGTTGGACTACAATCCCAATCCCATTTCACTTTAGTACTTGCCTCCTTGCCAAGACTGGGGAGTCTCTTGTGGGAAAATCTTTTCCCTTCTGAAAGAGTGTACCAAGTTGATGCCCTGAGCAGTTGGTGTGTGCTGAGAATAGTGCTGTGTGTTTGGTAAACCAGCATCTATTGTGTGGTCTTAATGCTCTTCTGCCTCATAGAGTCCTCAAAGGAAAACCCACTAAGCAATCCTGTGCTGGATAAGCCGAGATCTCCACCCCTGTAGAAGTTGTGGCCTCAAATCCATAGGATTTAGCTAGAGGAACCGATGAGGCACTAACGTTTTTGTAGAAAGTCCCCATGCCCCCAAAGTGCACAATGGCAAAAATTGGGGCAAACTGAAGCTGGGAGCTGGGAACCCAATCTGCTGTGGGTAACAGAAACCTAACTCCTTGAGCTGTGATCACTGCTTTGTAGGTTCTGCACCAAGAGGAAGCTGGAATCCAGAACTGGAGCAGAGCTTTGAAGCCAGGCACCTGAACTGGCAACTGAACTGCCAGTCTGAGTGTCCGCTCCCTATGGCCACTTGGAATATGCAGAAGTGTGCGGGATATGTGCCATTGTGGAGGAGCCCCCCACCGGTGTTCTGACACTAATGACGAAATATCACTGCAGCCCTGTCAGACCCCGAGTCTGAACGAAGCTCTGTGCTGCTGACAGGCACTGTCCTCACTGAGGCTTCGAAATTCCCTTCTGATTGGTTGAATGATCAGGCCCACGGTTCACGGGTAGGTCCAGCCTTGTCTCCACAGTTCACCAGGATCACCAACATCTTCCCTACATGTGCTGGGACCATGGGTGCTGGGTCCCAGCCATGCTCTGGGCTCCTCACATTTCCTCATGTAGGCCACCCTGCTCAAAAACACATTTGGTGGAATTTAGAAAGTTTGAAACTAGTGGTTTCTATGAATGTGACAGTGAAATGTGTAAGGCATAGTGTCTTCCATATTTCTGGTCAATCTAGAGATGAACATATTTGTAAAACTCTTCTGTGACACTTCAGGTGTGATTTATGGAGCTCCCTAGGCCTGTGAACACAGACCTCTGGGGACTTTGATGTTTAAAATGACACTCTAGGCGATCAGCTCTTACCACTTTAACTAGGAAACAGGATATTTTAGAGTTATATAGATATTAAAGAAATCGGATTTTCAAAACATCCAGGGCTTTTGTTTTTCTATTTTTAAGTTTTTTAAGTACAGGAAGAAACTTGATCCAAGCAGCCTCAGTTACTGGAGAGGTGACTGTCGGTTCCCAGAGTGCTTTTGTTTTCCAGGGAAATCGTAGCAGATGATCTTGTAACACCTGGTCTTTTTGAAGAGCAACCAAAACGATACCTAGCTCTTTCCTACAAGTTCCTTCAGAACTTATGGGCAAAGAAACACTGTTACCTTTGAGCCTTAAAAAAAGACCAAGTAAATGCAGGCCTTTTTTTTTTTCATTTCCTGAAGCAATTAGTGGTCTTTTTTTTTTAACAGGTAACAGAATAAGTCTTTAAAGATACACTTTTTTTCCCTCTCAGTGAAAAATGGTTGTTGGCTGTTAGCCACATAAATTC